TACAGCATGCTTTACATTATTTATTTATTTATATTTTACTCATTGTTATTTGTAACATATTGGATGGAATTTAGTTACTGGAGTCGAGGAGCTCAAGAACTTTGAGTTAGACTGAATACATTCCAACTGCATAAAGGTATTGCAATAAAGTATCAGTCACAACCCACTCTTAAAACATAAAAAGTCAGAAAAATCTAGTACAAGCCCTGTATCAATAGATAACATAAGAGTAGCTTTACTACTTTTTCAGTGTTATTCACTTCAAGGACATTTACAGAGCTGTGGTCATTTTATGCAATAATTGCCTTCAGCTGCATGCTTATCCTGAGAAAACACCTGAAAATAAAAAGGCAATTTCAGGATTTTAAAGTGAAGCTACAAAGCAAACATGAGGTACTATAAGTATGCTGTACAAGTAATGTTGTGATTTGCTGTAGCAACACAAATAAAAATCAAATCATCAATTTCAGAGTAATTATTGTCCTTACTTGCATAAGTACAAGTATCTGTGCCACAAAACAAATAAATGATGGGTTTTTTTGCTGAAGGCACCTGCCAGAGTCTTCTAGCAGATCCCGGCCAATGAAAAACAATTGGGCGGAGCCGGCCTTGATTTCAGCCGGCCGATGCCGAGTTGTTATTGTTTAATGACAGATCAGCATCCCCAGGTCATTTGGGGACACTGATCTGTAATTACAACTGGGCAGAGCGAGCCATGAGATTACGACTGTCTCCGCCCAGCTTGCATTTGCATGGAGAACGGCCGGCCCTTCGGCAGATATTAGTAAATAGTAAAACGACAAAAATGTTTTTCACCAGGGTTCAGCTATAAAGCATTTTTTTTTTATAAGTTTCAAATTTAATTTTGTAACATACTATCCCTGTTAAGATGGGCCCCATAGCAGGGTGATGGGTGGAGTTATGCCTTTGTTTTTACCAGTGCAAACCCATATACCATTTCTGAACTTAAACATTGCATGCTTTTCATATGTCTTCCTTATAGTACCAGTAAACCTAAAATAATACTTATTTTCAATAATCATTATGATAAGATAAATAAAATTCACATATGTATAGGTAAGTAGAAGAAACTAACAAAGGCTGTCTGTAGTACTACATTTGTGTAAGGAAATAACTTAAGAATATTATTTGAAGTATATTGAATTTTACTTAGCTTCTGTCACTATTCTTTTTGCAACTGCAAGAATTTTTTATATTAACTGAAAGAAATTGTATTGATTTACATAACCTATAATAGACTCATAAGACTACTGATGTGAAGAGCTGCTGACAATCATAAGAGGCAGGGCAGCCCTCTGTCACTCTATTCACTGTAAATGTTATAGCCTATAGTCAAATTAACATGGTAAAAAGTCTAAATTTACACTGCTATATTTTATTTTTAATATTACAATGCACTGTATATACAGCATACCATAACAATAGATTAACTTCTTATTATCTGAAGTGAAAATATCAGATGTCAGAAACCAATCTTTTTTTATGACTTTTTAATAGATCAAAATAAACATGCTGCATGTAATGTAATCCCAGAGAAATCACTCCTATTTATACATTTGTGCATGACTGATGTGTCTTTCTACAGATGAAAGCAATGTTACCTTTGTGATTGCTCTACATAGTATCACTGCTAGCATTAAGGCTGGGAGGATACCAGCTAAGTTAATGGCAGTGAGTGTTAACACTGAAAAATAACGGAAATTAGTGAATGAATGCAACCTATAGCAATCAACTGTGTTTTATATATTACCAAAGCATCCCTCTCAAAGGAAAGTTAATTTATTTGCTCACACAAATGTTGTCAAAATATGTGTATCTAGCTTTCTGCTGTAATTTACAGCCAACTTTTTATGGAAGGGAATATGATTTATTTTTGTTGCCATGGAATACTGTGTTGATTCAAAGCTGTTCTTTATACTGAAGCAATAAACATACACAGGCCTGTCATCTTATAGAACCCAAAATCAAATTTACATAGGAAAGTTAAGACAAGCAGTGTATATAAACTATTAATGGGCAGCCCCATTCAATGACCTATTTTTAAAAATAAAGGTATCCATTTTTGTAGGTAACTAACTGGACTTATTATCAGCTTTCCCTAAACTGTTGCTTCGTTAGGTAATGTCAATGTAGAAAGGTAAAGAAAAAAGAGTAGGCCTCATAAGTAATAGGGATGAGCCGTGTGTTCGATTCGAACATGAGTTCGAATCGAACATCGGCAGTTTGAGCGTTCGCCGAACTTTATGGGATGTTCGCAGTTTGCCGGTGCCGAGGGCATGTGGCCTGGTGTGGGAGGGAGGGAGGGAGGGGGGGCGCTCGCTCGTCCCCCCTCTTTCCGGCCCTGTCAGGCCTATGCTCGGATCAAGGGTCTGGTATGGAATTTTAGGGGGATCCCATGTTTTTTCCTCCTATTTTTGGGGATGGGGTTCCTCCTTAAAATTCCTGCCAGATCTTAAGGGCCTGGTATGACTTTAAGGGGGAATCCCACACACCTTTTTTGTTTTTTTGTACATGGGGTCCCTCCTTAATATTCCTACCAGATCCTAAGGGCCTGGTATGACTTTTAGGAGGAACCCTACACAGTTTTTTTTAAAACATTGGTCCCTCCTAACATTTCTACCAGACCTAAAGGGTCTGGTATTGTTTGGGGAGGGGAACTGCACACTTTAAGAGAAAAAAATATATATTTTTTTAGAAATGTCAGTTTTGCTGCAGCAGGTTCTATACATCCTACAGATCCGCCACTTCACAGGCAGGTTAAGGGGACCCTTCAGGCATGATATTTGAAGGAATTTTTCATTTTTTTTCATATCTACAATATATGTACATTTCAAGTATGACTTATAAGACCCTGCAAATACAGAATAATACCTATGGATCTGCCTGAAATGCATACAACTCATAAGCCCTGTTGTGGATTGACAACATGCAGTTTATTTTGTGATCTGAGCATTTTTAGCCCTCCCAGTGCCCTTTGCTAAACTACCTAACCACTCCCACTTTTAGATCGCTACAACATAAAGGCTAATCATTTTGTTGTCATGAATAAGAACTAGTAGGGCTAATTAGCCTTTTAAAGATACCACAAGAAGTGTATACAGCATACAGGACAGCCCTACATTTCTGACATGAGCAAATGTTATTGTTTTTTTGCACTTATCAAACAAAACGAACAAAATGCTTCCAGCTATATTTAACAGGTCAAGTGGGAGCAAGTAAGAAAGTTCAATATTACGTTTTACATACAGTATAAATAAAATATGAGATTTTAAATGTAAAAAATGATTTCAATATTGGAAGTAATCAAAATTTCTCAAAAAGCTGGGCTGGTCTGGTTGGGATAAAATTTGAGGATGTTGGAATGATAGGAGACAAATATCTATACATGTATGTTAACATATGATCTCTCTTTTAAATGGATAAATCCAATCACAATGTAGTCAAGAACAAAAAAAACAAATAAAATATTGCTGACAGTCTGAACGTGACACTAAACTCAGGAGCTAAAACGTTAAAATGCATTCAAGTACCTTAACTATAAACAAAAATGTATTTTATGTGTGTATCACTCGGCTGTAGATCCTCAAATTATCTCTGAATTGGTGCTGACACCGTCCTTCCTTCTGGAGGGTGGCTACTTTTGTTCCCCATGGCCCCTGCTTGGAGCTACTTTACAATACATAGTTCTTCGTTTTTATTAATAATTAAGGTATTTGAATGTATTTTCAAGATTTCACTCCTGAGTTTAGTGTCTCTTTAAAGAAAACTTGTCTTGAGGGAAATATAGAGGCTGCCTTTTCTGACCTCTTATTCTGCATCTGCTATTTGACTTAATTACCCTAAGTAATTAAGTAAGAACATATATGCTGCAGATAAGGACTTCTGCCTTTTATATTGATAAACATTTAGCAGATCAGGAATAAGATCAATAACTCAGAAAGTCAACCAACATTTTTAGAAGTATATTAGCAATTGCAGACCATATTTCTGTTAAGAAAGGTTCATGTTTACGACTACTTTTTAATGAATTCTCATTGCCAAAGCACGGCACCTGAATAAGCTCTTTGTGACTTTTTTGGGGACCACAAAACACTTATTATGTGCTTTCTGTGTAATATTATGAAGTCACTGCCACTAAACTAGGAGGTAAAAATATTGTAGGTTTCTAAATGCACAAATAATATCACAAGGGCTTTCTATAGTTTAGAAATGTTGCATATCTTGACCTCCCCTGTCATACATAAAGAGCATTCAAGGCAGTCTGGTTGTAATGCATTTTTCATGTGTCCTGTATTAAAGATGAGATCTGAGCTCCCAGCTCACAGATCAAACTATTCATTACTCAGTCATAAACGAAATCTACTGTGGTTTGTTACCTTTTTAATCACTTGTTTTACATGTGGTGCACTAAATAATCGTGTCAACCAATGGAGAATTATCAAGCCCAGTTGGGATTCTGATATCCCTGTTAAAACATTTTAATAATCTTTAGTATCAAAAAGTTCAAAGATAAACTATTATGCCCATTGCCCTTTGTCTATGCTGGCTGCTAGATTGAAGCTGAATGCTCTATATGGGGGCTATGTAAATACTCCCATATGACATTATTAGTGAGATCTGAAGCAAAATGTATTTTATGTACATGATGTGGTTGCAAGCTTATTTCAAATGGAAAGAGATTTACACCTAGAGATTGAGTCGAAAACATTCAGAAATTTGAAGGTAAAAGCAGCTGATTATTATTCACATATGCTTAGAGGTTAACGTAAGAGCTTCTAAAGCATTGATTCTAATGACTTTTATGTTGCTACTAATAATGTTTTTCCCCAATTGATTTTGTGTTTTTTTCTAAGTTTAACTTGCACTTTGGATCAATATGCAAGATGAATCAATTAACATCAATCAAATAAAAGAACTCACTGAAACACCAGAGGTTGGCAAAATAAATGCTGTAATCAATTTATTTTGATCTTCTGTAGGTTGGAGCCGTGGGAGGACTTTTAACGTACACAATCTCCTATGACTCATCTGATAGAGATGATGACGGTGACAAGGAGCTAACAGGTCACCCAAATATCATTATTGAGGTAGGAATGTTTATAGCTTTTTCTTTGATGTTATATTTATAACTCATGCACTTTTTGAAAACATAGAAACTTACATTTAAGAGAAACAGAAAAGATTGGCATAAAAAGTAACTGACAGTACTGAAAAAAATTAGACATGTGTGATTTGTTTAGTTCTAAATAAAAATTTGTATTAATTATTAGAAATTTAGATGCATCTGAATTTCCGAATAAAAGAATTAACGAATCCGAACATATCCGAATTTTCTGATAATTAAATTCGGATGAATGTCATTTGGAATCAACTTGTGTTGTTAAACGTTAAAACAAGCATAGCAGACCCTTTAGGTCTGGTAGGAATTTTAGGGGGGTCCAAAAAATGCATGAGTCCCCCTAATATCCCTGACCAAACCCTTGATCCAAGCAGCACCTTGGCAGAGCAGGAAAGGGGGATGATGAGCATGCACCCCCTTGCACCTTACTAGGCCACATGCCCTAAACATGGCCTGATGGCTGTGGGGGTCTGTGGGCAGGGGGATTAACTGAATTTGTTTCATAAAGGGGACACCCAAATGTTGCCCCTCTTGTGAATGAGTTTGGGGTAGTTGTTACCCCTACTCATTCACAAAATAAAGAGTAAGATTGTAAATAATCACACAACCGTATACAAAGTCCTTTATTTCAAGTATTTTATATAGAAAAAAAAAGTCCACCGATGTAACCCAAACATCAATCACATCGTCCAGCGATGTAGAATCCCAATAGACCCCCGCCGCCAACGTGGAAAGAACAAAATACCCGTCACCCGCCACCAAGACTGATCCGGTGAGAGAATGGACTCTCACCGCAAAATGATGGTTCCGACCTGAATGTAAACAAAAAGGACGAGCCAGTCATGATATCACCGGACTTGTTCTGCCCCTTAGTTGACATTCTGGAGCAGAGCTCCTGAATGCTATTCGGGACTCCCGAATAGCATTATTTCTATTATAAGGACTCTGTCAACAAAGGGGCGGAACAAGTCACATGATGTAATAAAAAAGAAACAATTTTACTGTTTCTTTGTTGAATGAGTAGGGGTAACAACTACCCCATTCACGAGGGGGGCGCGGTTTCTGGGTGCCCTCTTTATTAAAGGGTGCACTCAAATTCCTATAAGCCCCCCCTGCCACAAAATGTTAAAAAGAAAAATGTCACTTTTTTCTAATGTCACTTTGCTGCAACGAAAATTTGTTTTTAAATATCATTTAACTCATCCGAAATAAACAAAAATTTTGGATTCAGATTAATCTGATTAACAAAATGAATTGACTTTTGGACCTGAATCCTGAAATAACGAACAAATTTTTGGTCGTCACTAAAAAAAATTATTCTGAAAATAATCTGAATATGAAAGACTTGGCATACAGTACTTGAAATTATTTAAATGTTGACTTTCATCAAACGATAGCATACCTGTCAGCTTCAGCCCTTTTTTTAAGTGTGACCCTGCCCTGCACCTGATGTGGCTGCCCTCCTTCTAAATCCACCACCCTCCTTATGCTAGCCATTTAACTTTTTATTTTATTAATACATTTTGTGAACATGTGCCATAAACTCTTATTTTCTGCCATTCTCCCAACAGTCAAAAGCCCCTTTAATTATGGCCCAAGGAGTAATTCGTTATTGGCAGTCTTTTACATTATATTGAGGGGTCTATTCACAAAACTGCCGAAGGATCTAGCCGTAGCTTCGGCGGATCCTTCGGCTAGGTTTGACCCCAGGACCCCTTCGGTTCAGCAGACTATTCAATATAGCCTGCAGTTGGCCGAGGGGCTCAGTTGAGCCGAATGCTTATGCTTCGGCTCGACTGAGCCAAGGTGAAAGCCGAAGCTGGCTGAAAGGCCGGCCATTGGCCAGCCGACAGCCTGCTACTGACTGCTGGGTGGAGCCAGTTGTGATCTCACGGCTGGCTACAGCCACTTGCACAGACAGATCAGGTAACCATGGATGCTGATCTCCAGACAGCCCTACTCTCCCATATGCTCCGGGAGTCTCCCGCTATTAGATAGTGGCTCCCGCCCGCTGGGAGAGAAACACTTTCTCCTGGAAAGTTTTACTCTGCTCGATCGAGCAGAGTAAACTTTTCCCTGCTATGTTGTTTTTTCTTTTTTTTCTTCTGACATCGGAGCCGTTGGCTGCCGTCAGAATAAAATAATTTAAAAAAAACAGCATAAGAATGCATAGCTAGATTCCTATTGGCTATTTCAATTTTCAATAACCAATAGCAAACTAGCTATTGCATCCACCCTCTGCTGCTGTCAATCAGCAGAGGGGACCTGAAGTTCTCCATTAGGTCCCCTTCTAGTGATTGACAGCAGCAGGTGGTGGGTGCAATATCTAGTTTGCTATTGGCTATTGCAAAGTGAAATAGCCACTAGGAATCTAGCCATGCTAAGGTTTTTTTTTTATATATATTCTGACGGCAGCAGAAAACAGTTGGGCGGAGCTAGCTGTCACTGCTAGCTCCGCCCAAACGTTTTCTATTTTATTTTTTCTACTTTTTTAACTGTTTTTCTATTCTGCTCGGTACCACAGAGGTACCGAGCAGAATAGCCGAGCCTATTAACTCACTGCTGTTTGGCATCTATGAGAATAGGCCGAACAGCAGCGAGTAGCCTGCCGGAGGTTCGGCTCAGCCGATCCAGATGTTGGATCGGCTGAGTCGAACTCCTTCTGCACTTCAGGTCGGCCGAACATGCTGAGCATGTTTGGCAGACCCGAAGCCAGCCGCAGCAAGCCGATGTAAGGCTGATTTTAGTCGGTGTTCGGCTGAAATCAGCCGTACAAGCCTGAAGTGAACAGTGTTCGGCTCACTTCACTTCGGGTCGGTTATTCACTCGGCTGCCTATGGCAGCGTAGTGAATAGACCCCTGAATGTTATTTTGGTTGTCAGTAATCAACAGTTTTGGCAGTACATATTTGTTTTTGTGAATAAGGGTGCCATAAGCATTTAGACACGTGTGGATAATTAGGCAAGCAAGCAGAACCATACTCCTTGGTACTTCTTCCTAATAAAAAGGAACTGTCAGCTCAGCAAAATTATTTTATTCTCATCAGTAAGAGAATAGGAGGTAGAGATAAGTAGTAATCAAAGACATGTACTGTTTATCTCTGGGGGTGAAGGTCATTTTCAATCTAGGCAACTGGTTCAAGCCACTCCCATCTCTATAAGTAGGTTAAAATAAAAAAAATTACACGCTCATATGTTTAACTGTATTATTTTTAACCAAGTAGACAATATCTTGTTTTGTTTTTATATTTTGAATAATATTCACAGGGAAATGGCTTGCTGATTAGCACCATACATGATGGTATTGACTTACAACCATTTGAAGAACGCACTGAAAAAGTTGAACTGCGTCCTGAAAACTTTAAAATGCATGGGGCAGGATATCCAATCAGCAGACATGACTTCATGACAGTTCTGGCAAACATTGATAAACTTCTAATTCGTGCAACTTACAGTAATCAGAAAGATGCTATCTACAGGTAAATATAGAACGGACACTTTGACAAAATTCAATTTTTAAATTTTTTTTTGTATGTTTTTTAAAATATACGTATGCAATCTTTGTTGTAGAAACACATGTACTATATGACAAAGGATTCAAAGAACACTATGGTTAACTAGAAGAAGCATTGTAGTAGCAGCCTAACTCATGACTGGTCTTGTTTGATTGAAATTTCAGACTAGGCTGTCCCATAACGGAAGAGTCCCTGCTGATAAATCATTCAGCTGTGTGCAAATTATACTTTAAAGTTTGTAAACAAAAGGCTTTATTCAACAGGCTGTAAAATAGATAAGGTAAAATGTAAAAAGGAGCAAAGGTCAGATACCTGCTGGCTAAACAAATGCAAAGTTACAAAGTATACAATATTTCAATGTTTTTTAGTTCTGACCAAAATAAATAATGATAATAATCATTCAATTATAATAATAGAACAAGTTTACATTCTCTTTAAAAGTGTAAATGTTTAAAAAAAAACTGAGCAAGGACACATATAGCATTTTTTTAAAAAAATCTAAAAAAAAAACTAAGTGGGATATAGAAACATAGGAGAAGTGGTCCATCAAGTCTACCTTTTAAGGCTTTTTTTGTGTGTTGTTGTCTGATAGATCTAGGTTTACTCTTTTTGTAAAATAATCTGTTACTCTTGAACTTTTTTCCTGCTACTTTGAGGTCATGCTACATGTACTTGATCTCAGCTTCATATCGATTAACATCCTTAAGCCTATACACGTTCATATTTTGTTTAAAGGTTTCAGTCATGGTGTTTCATAATACTTTTATTGACCCAATGCAGAATGATCACCACTGGGATAATAAAAAGAAATCCATATATACACTGCTGGACAAGTTCACCCAGTGCACAAAACAAAAATGTAAAACTACAACCCCCCCCCATGTGGAGAGAGGGGAATGTTAATAGCATCTTGCCAAAATTTATGTAATGTATGAGTTTAGTAGCAAGCACATTCTGTCCGCAGTAAAATATGTGACTGACAGTGGTCAGGTAAACAATGTCTCAGCATCAGTGGTGTCACTGAAAGTAGGCTTTTTCTCTTCCCTGCTGCTATTGGAGGGAGGAGAGAGCAGAATACTCGCCCCAGCAGCTATCATGACCCCTGATCTGCACTCCATTCTCAAGCAGCCTGAATGACAGAAGTTGACAGCAGCATCCTTCAAAAATTCCAGGGGTTTAAAAAACACCTGAGCTTTCTGTCCTAGGCTACATTCACACAAGCACTCCTGTGTTAAGTTACTAAATGAAAAAAAAATATCTGGGAAGTATAAACAAAATGTATGCTTCCTAGATTAAGTTCTTCTGTGTATCTGACTCTACACGAGTTTATCTGCATGTACACTGGTTTAGCACTTCCAATCAGACCCTGGACACAAATAATTATCTTTAATCTAAACACAACTAAACGGAATGCGCCTAAATGCAGGTAAACTTTAGAAACGAGATGTCTTGCTGCACCCCTAACGGAAAGAACCCAAACTGGGTGGGTGCTCGTGGTGACCACGGAAGGCACCGTGTATATCACAGAAGAAGAGAACAATGTCACCAGCACACCGCAATAGTAAATCAATGATCCATTTTAATGGCACATTGCCATCTAATACAAGCGCTTTCGGGGCCACAAGGGGTCCCCTTCATCAGGTTCAGAATGACACCGATGTGCTGGTGACATTATTCTCTTCTTAAATGCAGGTAAATGCACAGCTTGGACAATAGCATTAGACATCATTATATGAATTTATATGTTTTCCTATAAACACATATACTGTAAATGCATATTTGTCTAGGCCAGTGTGAATGAGGCCTTATAATTACAACTATTAGTATCATTAGAAATTATGCATATACGATACCAGGTCATTATGCAGAAGACTCTGTGGCTCAAAATACAGTATGTGCTCATTGAAAATATGTATATTTTCTTTTCATTGGTTATGTCACACTTAACCTATGAAACCTATGAAACCTATGAACACTTAACCTTGTTCACATTTGTGTACATTGACACACATTGCTATAAAGCAGCCTATTTACTTTGAATGTGCCTTCAACAAGCCTTAACGCACAAATAAACACTACACTACTTTTGGGCAACACATAGCCTTACAGCCCACATTATGCTCTCATTATACAGCTACAGCTCGCGGTATACTGAGACTGCCACAGCCAGGGCAGATCACGACATTACTGTCGAGATCCACCCAGCTGCATTAGTGACAGCTGGCTCTGCCTATCTAGAGGCAGAGTCAGCTGTGCCTGTCTCCTCCCCCGTCTGTTCCGCCAGTCAGCGCTGGAGTATCGGAGCAGGGAGGGGGGAATCCCTGCAGGGAGCCGTGACTGCCAATCACTGCTCTCGGCAGGGACATGATTGAGAAGTGAGCGAGCGACGGTATGCATTCGCTCACTTCCCGATCTATTGAGACGGCGTGTGACAAACTAAAGTGCTGCTGCAGATCTCTTTTGTGTTATTTCCAATGAGCCAGGGAGAAGAAGAGAGAGACATCAGCATGGAGGGGAGGTGGGATTGAGCTTCAGGGACAGTGTTAAATGTTTGGCCAGAGAGAAGAAGAAGAGATAGTGGCAGCAACATGGAGGGTAGGTGGGATGGAGCTTCTGCGCCTGAGCTTATACTCATGAACATGCAGCAGCTCCTACAAGACTTTGTCACTCAATGGGAGGAGAGAATATTGGGGAGGATCACTTCTCAGCATGGAGCTAATATATTATATTGAATTGTAAGCAAAATTTGCAAAATGTACTCTGTAACATTAGGAAACTAAAAATGGCAAAAAAGGTATACTCCATAATTCTCCTTTAACACACTTTTAAAAATTAGGTTGCACTTTAGTTTTACACATAAATGAAAGAATTTAACTATGTTCATATATTTATCCAACAATTTCATATAGCCAATTTACTTCAATAGGTTTCATGTGCCTTTTGTTTTAAGATATTTAACAGAGAATCACTTTTGCAGTTCTGAAATTCAGCACCCCTCAGTGCCAGTATTTTGTGTTAAATTACAATTCTCCAGGAATAAAAGCGAGCTCACCAAGGAATGATCTCACTGCAGCTATGTTAAATGAATAACTGGAGAAACTGTTAAACACATTATAACTCCATTTTCCAAATAGCGGAACCTAATGAAAATTGAAAAAGCTAATAGAATACAAATTCAGTGTATTGCAGTATAAAAATGCTTTTGTGTATAGCAGTTTCACATCTAGCCCAATTATAGTAAACATCAAAAGAGTTATAGTTAAACAAGATTCGGATGCAACATGTCGACAACCTGCAGTAGTTTCTTTAAATAGTGATGTTTTTCACATAGTGCCAACATTTAAAAAAACATTTCCAGGGACATCTTGTTTGCTATGCTTTAAGCAAGCCACTGTAGGTTAATTAGGGGTGGGTCATGCATTCAAGTTGAGAGGGGTTCTACAAGAGACATGATGTTAACCTATTGTACAATTTAATTTAAAAAAAACTATATGCAGGAAGATTTATCTTAAGGACAGAAACACGACCAAAGGGTCTTAATAAAAGGATTTATGTATTTGTTTAGCTAGGTACAACTTCTAGTCTGTACAAACCCAATGCAGCTTTGTTCAGCCTTTATAACATGGAGGCATCCTTGGAATTAATTTTAGGTCTCAGGAAAGGCCTGCCAATAATTACTATATCCACATCTCATGCTACATTAGTGTGGTGCTCACTAGTAAGAATGCCCCTGACACTAAAGGCCAGTGGGAAAATTGTTCTTTATATTGATGGCCAGTGGGAGGAATGCACCTCCCACAGACATCTAAAAAGATACTTGGTGTCATCAGTAACTTATCTAAGAGTCAGAAATGGCCCATTGCTCAAGGAATCCCAAGCAACCTCAGACGGAACCCTAGGTGTCCAAGGAACCCTGGTTCCACCTGGTTATACTGCGAACACATTGGCAGAAAATATTTAGAAAACATAATTTGCTGGTTACTGCAAAACCTGTTGTGGCTGCTGATGGAGTGAAGGGTTTTGTAGGTGGCAAAAATCCTGTGTCATAAAACAAGTTGTGAATCATTATACTGTAGTGAATTCTGAATCAGGTAGAGCAGGGGTAGACAACCCTGGAGAGAGATCAAAGATCACCCTGGAGAGAGATCAAAGATCACCAGGAGTGCAGAGCTCTCTGGGTCCGGTGGGTAAGGTTAAGTCCCGGACACAGCTGCGGCCAATTAAAGTTCTCTATTCTTCCCTCTCTGCCTACCCCTGCCACACTCTCCAATCAAGTGGCAGAGGACAAAGTGATGAGCCGAGTTGTGTCCACAAAAATGCCCGCACAATGCAGCTCTGCAATAAAGTGACTGGCAGGGCTGCACTAGCATCTCTACAGCCCAGTGTACTGATTGTAACAATTTTAAAGTGTTTAAAGTGCTTGTTAGGAATTACAAAATAAAAAATATGAAGTACATGTCTATGAAACAGGCACATTTTGCAATGTTATCTGTTTAAAGACTCAGCAAGTACAGATAAATAACTAATGATCTGTAAGAAATGGTCTCAGTTCCATAGTCCTGTTTTGGACTGACATCACAGCATTTTTGTGTGTACTAAGTGATGTAAGCCCTGCCCGGTTTACTTTTGCTAAACTACTCAACCCCTCCTACTCTCCTATCTCTACAACATAAAGGCTAATTATTCTGTAGTCCCACAATAAGAACTAGAAGGACTAATTACACTCCTTGAGATAACAGAGGAAGTGTGTAGAGGACATAGGATCATAATACAATCATATAATGATGTGATTTTATACATCCGACCCAGTCCCTGACACGCCTAAGCGTCTTGGTATTTTTTCTGTATATTCCATCTTGTACACTCTTGATAGTTAGTGCTCTCACTGTATCAACCTTATACTGTGCACAACCTGACATTCTGTAGGTACTAAGGAATTCCTTGATTTTGCCAAATACTGACAC